GCTGGTGAAGCTCTTCCCAGCATTGAGCTGCAATGATGGGAAAGGCTTCACCCTTTGGTCTTCTGGCCTATGAGGTAGTTTGAGCTTTTTATCAAGTATGTCCAGTATTTTTGTTGAAACCATCTGGTAACCCTGCATGCCTGCCACAGACAGATTCTTTTATTGCTATGAATTAACAGACAGACATTTGATTTGAAACAGTAAAGAAGCTGTCCTCATGTCCTCTGGCAAACCATTCCAAAGGCTGCAGGCAATGACCAAAGAATGCGACGTCTGGGCTGAAGAAGAATGCGCTGTGTGGAAGGCGCAACAAACAAGGACTGCCTGGAAGAACAGAGCTGGCATGTGGGTTTCTACCAGCAGAAGGAGATGGGAAGTGCTCAGGGTAGGAAATATTTGTGCAAGATTCTTTTGTGGGTCCATTTTTTCAAAAAATATGAACACCAGTATATACTTGTTGCCATGAAAACACTAGCAGTAGATTGACGTCCATATTAAACAACCCAAATATTATTGTTTTTATGTTGTATATATTCAGTTTCAGAAATAGCTTTTATTAAGAACAGCTGTTCCATGTTTCATTTGTCTTTCTTTTTAACAGTCATATAGTTATGGCCAGCAACTTCAACAATAAATATTTAGTGGTAATGGTGGAGATATGAGAGGTGCCAAATGAGGATTGCCACATGATTTTTGCTTTTGTGCCTTAAATATTTAGTGGTAATGGTGGAGATATAAGAGGTGCCAAATGAGGATTGCCAAATGATTTTTGCTTTTGTGCCTCTGGTTTGCTTTTGTGCCTTTAAACTACGGCATTTTTGTAACATCTCCCATGGATGTCTCCACATTAAGCAGCTGTTAGAGGCACATGCTGCAGCGACAGGTTCAAAAGTTGGCCACTCTAGCCAGAACTGGAAATAATATGGGACGACAGAAGAGCAGTTATGGGTAGACAGGGATAATGGCTTTGTGCAAAAAGTGCTGGATCGCGTTAAGCTGCTCTCAGCAGACTGCGCCGAGGTTTAGTATGGATGGAGTTTGGAGACTTGGAGGGAAGTACCCTCCTCTACCGTGTTTACACGGGAGGTCCCTGGACGAGGCACAAAGCCAGAAAAATCCAGGGTGAGCTGGCATCTCGCCCGCATCTCTGCAGGCCCCGTTTCCATGGAGACAGCGTCGCCGAGAATCCGAAGCGTCTCTTCAACCCTTTCCTTTCTTGCGTCCTTATTGGCTCCTGCAGGGGGGGCGGGACTTCGGAGGCAAGGGTTGCTGGAGCGACAGAGGCGGTGGGAGGGAGACTTTGCTAAAGGGGGTGTGTTAGTGTGTGCGGGGGGTTTGCTTGGTTTTAGGCTGAAGGGAAACGAGGTGGGGCAGAGAATTTGGGATTCAGTGGGAGGGAGAGGTGTGAATTCGGCGTTTGGGGCGAAAGGAGTAGAACTGAAGTAGGGTAAATGCAGTTTTCATGAAACCAGGGGGGTGGTGCAATATGGGAATAGAACAGGAGGGGGGAATGGAGGCGGGGTGAATCCGAAGTGGGAGGTGTGTTTTAGAATGGGGGACGGGGATGGACTGGAGTAAACTAACTGATTAACTGATTAGGGTTGCCAACCCCCAGGTGGTACCTGGAGATCTCCCACTATTACAATTGATATCCAGACGATCAAGATCAGTTCGCCTAGAGAAAATGGCTTTTCTGGAAGGTGGATTCTATGGTGTTATACCCAGCTGAGTGCCCCCCTCCCCAACCCCCCCTTCCCCTGGCTCCCCCCCCAAAATCTCCAGGTATTTCCCAACCCAGAGCTGGCAACCCTATCTCCAGGTATTTCCCAACCCAGAGCTGGCAGTATGCACTCAGGAAAAAGAATGGATTTGGGTGGTTGTTGCTGCTCCCAGGGAATTAATCTTGTATCATCGTTTGAGTGGTGTGTGACACAGACACTGAAGGAGACTTGTGTGGGAGATGTAGCATGCCGATAGGCATAGAGCTTTAGGCAGGGATTGTTCTCTTCTTGTACTCTAGACAGTAATTGGGGGGTGGCTATTCCCGAATTTCTGTGATTCCTTGTGTTTTGTCTTGTTTGTTTGTTTTGTGAGCGTACTTGTGAAGACTTTCAACTATTGCAAAGCCCAGATTAGGATTCTGCCACACAGCAAGATGAATTTGTCATGATCGCCATTGGCGCGGTAAACTGTGCAAGAACAGTATTCACTTATTTAATGGAATAAATCCCTGAAGTTTATTTTGGTTCCTGTGGAAGTAAGACCGGCTTATTTGAGCCAGTGACATTTATGCTAAATTAAGTACTTGTGCCCCAAGTCCAAATTAGTGCAATAATTTACTCTGTGTGTATCTGTGGTGGAATAGATTGTGAACAGCCGGGGGTGGGGATGGGGGCTTCCTTTATGGAGGTATTCCCCCGTAGGCCACTGTTAGCCTTTTTTGATCTTTTGTCTCACAGCATTTTGAGGGGAACAGGCCACAGTCCAGAGAAATTTCCTATGCCCAGTTTACCCTTCTGCCTGCTCTTGAGTGTCCCTTGTGTTTTTAGAGTAGTGTACAGTGTAGAATGGAAGGCTGATAATCGGGGGGGGGGGGGTTAAAGCCAAGATAGACTCCTATAGACAGAAGCACATTTTAGAGGCTCTCTGTTTTCAGCTACCTGTGCCTGCGGTATGGTGGATGGCCGGGACAGAGGGCTCTTTTCCAGTATCTGCGATGTGATGCCCTTCTTAGAGTGGTCTGTGTTTACTAGTGTTCCCAGTTGCCATCTGTGAAAACCTTCTGTATGGGAAGGCTTTTCCTTGCTGAACTTTTGGGTTCAGTTGGTGATTTTGGCTGCTGTGAGTTTCTTGTACTTTGCTATTCTGGTCCCGTTCACACGAGGGGAGTTGGGCCGGGAGCAGGACGGTTCGGGGGCGGAGAAAATGGCCGCGATCACACCACAACATCTGGGAAGCGTAGTGCTTCCGTCCCCGAACTGGCCCATCCACGCGATAATCCGGAGCAAGTTGGAACCACCTATCGAGGTGGTTCATCTGACTGGTGCGCCGCAAACCGGGAGTCTGGCTCCTAGCCGAACTGCGCATGCTCCGACATGCGCAGTTCGGCTGGCTCGCCGTCAGATCTGTGTTGTCTCCCCGGCGTCTGATCGTGCCGGGGAGAAAAGGCGGCGCGGCCAGGGGATCCATGGGATCCCGACGCGCTGTTTCAACTTTGGCGCGGCTTTTAAAAGCCACGCTTTTTGGCGGCTTTTCCCCTGCCGTGTGGCAGGGGCCTCTGTTTCGTTTTTGCTGGCTGTTGTTTGGCATTTTGGCTGCTGTCCTTTTTCTTTTTTAAAAGAAGGGTAAGCTGCCCCCCTGGATCATTATGGAAGGGGATTTAAAAAAAAATTAATTTATTTATCACAGTTCTGTTTTACTTTTCTCTCTGATGGGGACTGCTTACAATACACACAGAGGGAAAAAAAATAAACTCAACAAGGAAGGCTTTCCATGTTCAAGCAGGTCTTCACTCTCCGCTTGCTGATCTTCTGCCTTACCCTCAAGCTGAGAGCTGCAGAACAAAAAGCCCTTTGACTTGCACTTCTGGGCACAGCAAGGCTTTATATACTTGTGTGCAGAGATGAGAACCATCTCAGCGAAATGTTATTTAGCTGCTGCTATGTAGCAGGATCTTCCCCAGTTCCTTGCCCTCTCAGAATAAATAAATAACTAAGATGCATCATGCTGCTTTTTTTGGTTTGAAAAATGGCCTCCTTGAATAACATTGACTTCGCTTTCTTGCTAGGGTTGCCAACTCTGGGTTGGGAAATTCCTGAAGATTTGGGGGTGAAGCATGGAGAGGGCAGCTTTTGGGGAAGGGGGGGACCTCAGCAAAGTATAATGCCATAGAGTTCACCCTTCAAAGTAGCCATTTTCTCCAGGGGAGCTGATCTCTTGTCAGCTGGAGTTTAGCTATAAAAGCGGGAGATCCCCAGGCCCCACCTGGAGGCTGGCAACTCTGTTTCTTGCCCATAAAATATCACCGAGTTAAACTGTAACAAAGGATAACAGCACAATCGTATGCAGGTGAACTTGGAAGCAAGCCCTACAGTATACAAAATAAACAAAGTATAGTCTTGTAGTAGCGCTTAAGACTTAAGATGTTTTGCTTCTAGAACACGCTTATGCTGTAGTAAAAACTCATTAGTGTCTTTCAAGTTCCACAAGACCCCTGCTGGTTTTTGCTGAAACAGGCAATCACCACGACCCCTCTGCAGCTGTGTTCAGTGGCACTTACTTCCAGGTAACACGGTGTTTAGGATTGCCGCCTAAATATCTCCATTATCGGCCACCCATTCTGCATGAGAGGGAGGGAAAGAAATCGAGGCCTCTTCCCTTGGTCTGTGTTGCTTCATTTTTAGTTGACGTTTCCTGCATTAGTCACCTTGTGATCTTCTGCTGTGACGGAAAAGCAGAGTATAATTGTAATCTTGAAATCAGCCCGTGTGTCACTTTCGGTCTGGCCAGTAGGCCATGCTGACTGCCTGGCTGTGTCTTCCGCTTCCCAGGTGCAACGACCTGCAGCAAAAGCAGGTGACTTTTCCGAAGCTGCTCCGGTGTTTTGGGACAGGCAGGCCAAGGAGGGACGTGGAGGTCACGGTCACGGCTGGGGCATTCTGCACTGCCTGCAAAGCTGTCCTCTCTCGTCAGGCTTTTCCTAAGGAATATTCTTCTGCATAAATGTCAGTGGTCTTCGCAGGATGTTTTTTAAAAGACTGATAGCATTTGTTATGTTTTTTAAAATCTGTTACTGGTTGTCAAGTGCCTCGTGTGAGGCAGAAGTAAAATTCTTAGACAAATGCATAGGGCGAAGGTATGGAAGGCCAGGTGTGTATGAGGGTCTGGGAAAGCACGGGAGCTTATAAAGAAGGCCTGCTGCTGGGATCCCGCTCTGGCCCAGTGGGCCTGAACAAGGTGTCTTCCCCATTGTGATTCTCTCGTGTGCTTTTTCTGCAGCCATGACAGCAGCGGGGAGCGGCAACGGTTTTGGCACCACGGCTTGGTGGGGTTTTTCTCCAGCACTTGACCTACAAGCAACATGTAGGTAACTTCTTGTTGACTAGGGACATGTTTCTCATTGCCTGCCTGCCGTGTACGAATTGGACCCGTCTGCTTCATGGGTTATGTGAGGAACTGCTCCCATCAGCAGCATGTGCCCTGGTTCTGTGGTAGGTCTGGCTCTGGGATGCAGTCTGCCTTTGGGATAGGAAGCATTTTTTTCTGGCCAGACTCCTTCCCTTGTGCAGGGAAACGGCTGTCTTTGATTTGGAGCCAAAAGGCCTCTCTGCTTGGGAGGAGCGGTATTTGGTTTTAACAAAAATCTTTGCCCCAGTGCTGAGAGATATCTACGGCATAGCTGTATTTGGAAAGCTACACGTTTGGTTGCTCCATTGAAAAACTTAGGCCCCTGCCACATGGGGGAAAAAAGAACGGCCGAAGTGCGGCTTTTTAAAGCCGCACCAAAAGAGACACGCGGCGGTGGGATCAGATAGATCCCCTTAGCCGCCGTGCAGTTGCTCCCCAGCACGATTAGATGCGGGGGGGGGGGGGGAACCCAGTCGAGGGAGGGGGAGGACATGCGTGCGCGTGCACAGTTCGGCCGGGAGCCTTGATTGCTCCTGCAGACGGGCGGGCTGGCGATCTCACGGCCGCACTTGCTGCGCCGTTCCAGGTTGGTTCTACCTTTTACTTGGGGTTTTTTTGCAGCGGGTTTTAGGCCGGAAGGGACGGATCAGGGACAGGTGCACGCTGATTCCCAGATGTTGCGGTGTGCTCGCACCCGTTTGCTGTGCCCCCGATCCTCTACTCTTCCGGCCCAAAACCTCCTGTGTGACCAGGGCCTATTAGATGGCAGAACTAAAAAGATTTGGAAGGGGACAACCAAAGAGATCAAAGGGTTGAAGCATCTTCCCTTTGAAGAAAGACTAAAGACTAAACTGTTTTTCTTTGGGGTTGGGTGGTTGCTTAGAAAGAAGGATGAATAAGGAGGGGGGATGGGCTGTGGAGGTAAAATTCTGCATGGCATGAAGAAGAGGAGGGTTTTTTTGTGTCTTCTCATAATGCACAAATGTGAGGTTACCCATCAGATTGAACCTGGGGCCTTCTGCCTGCAAAGCCTGTGCTTTTGTCTATTCAGGATAGACAAAAGTAAGTTTAAAATCTGGAATTTTCTGCAGTAGGTTTGTCCCTCTGCTTGAATGGGTTATTTAAAAAAGTGGGATCAGATGGATTCAGCTCTCAAGAGCTGTTAGCCATAGTGGCTAAATGGAACATCCATGTTGAAAGGCAGTGTGTCTCCGAAGTCGTATCCTCCTTGTGGCACTTCTTGATTGGGCACTGTGGAAAACAGGATCCTGTTCTCGATGGATCTTTGGTCTAATCCAGCATGGTTCTTTTTATGTTCTTATGCGCTCCTTCTGCAAATCTAACGGAATCTTCAGCAAAATTTTAATTCCTGAGAATGTCAGTTTTTATTTGGGCTCAAAAAGCTGATTTCTAGATCTCTGTGCTGAAGAGAGAGATTGGAAAATATCTAGATAATGTTGGCTAAAGCCTCCAGGGACCTCTACAGACTTCGTCCTTGTGGCTTCCAGAAGTTGCTCTGCCTTTATATCTTCTGCTTCCTTCAGCTATACCTCAGACTACAAGGGCTGCAACCGCAGCACTCATCAAGAAAGAAACTTGCGACTTATTTATCTTTATTCAGCACAAGCCATTTTCTGGCTCCACTGATTCATGTGCAATTTCTTTTTTTTATGTCAAAGAAATTTTTATTTAGGATATAAACATTCATAATCAACATTAAATTTTTTGCATTTGTCTCTTTCATGCCCTACCCACCTCCCTTTCCCCCTCCCTAATATATGGCTTCCCACAGTGCTTCGACCTCCTGCCCATCTCTTTCTTAATTTTTACACCAACAATTTTCTTTTTGTAATTCACTAGGTAACTATTATTTCACTATAGTAATTAATTTTTAACTTATCCTACCTCCCAAGCATTCTATGATTAATAATTATGAAAACTAAACAAATTGTCTTTTACTTCCCAATACTTTTCTAAGTATTCTTTTAGATCCTTCCAGTCATTATAGAAATCTTCTGCTTCCGTATTATTCAACTTTCTTGTCAGTTTGTCCATTTCAACTGAAAATAATAATTTTTTAATCCAATCTTCAATCTTCGGGACTTCTTGCTGTTTCCAATTCTGAGCATACGTCATTCTTGCTGTAGTTATCATATACCACATCAGAGTTCTCTTTGATACATTAACCTCTTCCATTTTTAGTCCCAAAAGTAGTATTTCTGGTTCCTTTTTAAATGTACATCATGTGCAATTTCTTTTTGAGCAGACAGACTTTCCTGAAAATTGCTTTTATGTTAGAGTGGAACAGGAACAGGAACAGTCCCTCCAGATACAGTCATTTCACTTTCTCTGCAGATCTGGATACCCCTACGGAGCACCTGCACGTGTCCCAGGATGGTATTCCCGAACTGAATATCCTGCTTGTGGGATCAATTGATGGCCGTCATATCCTCAAGACGATGTGTCAGGCACACCGATGGCCACGGAGGAAAATCAACGTATGTAACTCCCTCACTCCCTTCCCCCAGTTTCTGTTTTGTCTTGAACTAGGTCTGTACGTTGGTGTGTTCTTGTTATGTGTTTTTCTCCTGGCATTGTTCATATAACATCACCATCATGTACATGGCACTCTTCATTTAGTTACAGCAAGAGAAGATTGTGGCGGAGGCGTGGCTCAGTGGCAGAGCCCAGGCTTTGCAGGCAGAAGGCCCCAGGTTCGATCCCTGGTGTCTCCAGGGAAAG